TGGCAGTACTAAGTTGTGCCATTGTTTTTTGTCCAATTTATTACTGGTATTGTATGAATGGGATATTGCTGAATATGTGAGGAAATGCTTGATTTACTGGTAAGTGGGAACATATGGATGGAAACCATCGAGTTTATCTCAATTTCCTTCTATTCATGTTTGGAGGTGGGAAGAAATTTCCATGATTGGCTTTTTCAGGTTGTTGAGGACCCACTGGGGATGCGAATGGAAATGGGTGAATGTCACCATAGACTTCCTGTACAAACCACCTTGTACACGTGAAGACTATGATGACGTTTTAGTATTAGTTCATCAACTCACTCAGCATATTACCTACCAGTCCGTGAGGACTATACTTTCGACCGCTTGGCATAATCCTTCATTCTAGACTTTGTTAGATTGACGTCTCAATTAACATTGATTTTGACCGTAATCCCAGATTCACCTCCTGGTACTGGAAGGCATTTTAGTCAACTTTGGGTTCATGTTCACTCTACAACACTTCATATCATTTCTAAAGTAGATAGAATGTTCAAGAAAACCACTCAGATTCGAAAATTTTAGCCAAGACCATCAGTCATTCAATCACCCATTAACACCTTATCGAGTGAATTATTACCACTAGTGATTACATATCCTTGAGGTTATCGTTGTAACAAGTTATGAATATTGGAATGGGAAAAAATCTAAGTTCCCACCTGTCAGATTACCTTAAACTACCGATCGAGTAGAGTCCGCGCTCAACCATCTCGACTTGCCACCACAGAATCAAGTTAGGTACTCACACGTGTTCTTGCATCAAAGTTATGCATTCAATCTAGTTATCTTGTACTCTAAATTTGATGGACTTGATTTGACCCTTAAATTCTTGAGTGTTCTTTTAGCCTTCTCGGCATAGCCTTTCGCTAAATCCGAGAGAAATTTACAAATGGAGACCCTATATTTGCCACGTCATCACTTAAAGATTAATTTAATAGATTTTTTAACGATTGTATGAAATTGTAAACAAAATAATGCTAAATTTATGAGATTGAAATGTTTTAAAAGATGTTGTATGAGGTTGTAATTGCATCGAAACCTGAGGGGGTAAAATGTAATTTACCTTAACTTTTGAGAAATGTTAAGAAAATTCTCTCAAAAGTGTGACTCTCCATGGACTCTCTGCCATTCATCTTCTTGGCACAATTCCAGTGCCAACATTATAAAATATTGTGCCAAAAAGAAAATGTGGCAGAAAGTCCATGAAGCGTCCCACTTTGAGAGACTCTTCTTAGCATTTCTTTGAAAAGTAATGCTAAGGAGACTACATTTGCAGACAAAGTTTTGAAACCAAAGGGTATGAAAGTTGATGATTGGTTTATTACTTACACGCTGATAAACGTACTTATTCCTATTAGTGACACATCATTTAGTTTGCAAATTTAGTCTCCCTAACATTACCCTTCAGTTAACTTGTTCTTTTGTTTTTATTAATATTTTTTTTTGAAAATTTAGGGATTAAAGGAGAAGATTGATTGCAACGTGTCAAAAAGATGGCAACATATGTAAAACGGGACAGGTGTCATGTGCTCATTTGTGCGGTACATCAACTGTCTGGGTACCCAGTATCCAGTTACACTTCAAAATATTGACGGTTCGTATAAAATGTCGTAAAGGCTTGTGGAGTGGCACCACAATTTGTCCCATTTATTGTGTGGCAACTGATCATACTTTGTTTTCAATTATGGGGTCCACTACTTTCCTTCTGTCCAGTGAGACTTAAGCAGTGTGTGGCTTATGGTAGGGGTGGGCAAACGGGTCTAGGAACTGCGGGTCGGGGAGGGTAATCACCGTTTGGGACGGGTATGGGCCGGTTCTTAATATTTTAGAGAACAAATAGGGCGGGCCGGTCAGGCTTTTTTCATTTACGGGAAGGGCCGAGTCCAGATACTTAGAAAAAGGGGTGCCCGAACCGACCATTTTCTAATTATAATGGATGGCCGAGATTGAATGATAACCTATCATCCAATCTCAACCGTTAGTTTCTACCCTAGGTTCTACCCGAGTCCAAGCCAAGGTTCCAGAATCACAGTCATTCTCTTAAGTCTTAGCTGCCTCTCTGTCGCTCATCTATTTCCCTCTTGACTCTATCACATTATCACTGGAATGAAGGCCTTGATTGTCTTGTACAGAGACTCGTCGTCGAACTCAGACTCTGAGTCATCGGCTCTACCTCCACTACCACTTTCAGAGCTCAACAACCCTCAAGAACCGACCCATGCGCTGCCTCCACCTCATTTGACATTTTTGACAGCCCCAATTCATTCGATAATTTTCGATTCCCATCAATTTTCTATCTTTTAGCTTTCTGTTGTTATGGTTTTTCCGAGTTGCGCACCAAGTGTTTGAAATGACTTCTTCAGCTTGGCGTCGACGATGGCGTTCTGCTGCGATTTCTTCAGCTTGGCTTACTATTGGTGGTCGTTTTTCTTCTCTTTTTTGGGCTTAGGCTTCCAGCCATGAGTCTCATTCTTCTTCACCGGTCCGGCTTGCTGCTGCGACTGAGTGTCCATGGCTGCTCCGTCGAGTGTTTGGTTAGGAGACTCCTAGTCAATCCCTCGACTCTCTCTCCTTCATCTCCTCCCTGATCAAGGTACACCTAGGGTTTCTGCAGATCTTGATTAGTTGAATTGTGAACGATGCATTGTTATGAGTAAATGTTTCTGAATTTGAAGTTTGTATAAGAGATTTGATATCGATTAGGGTTTTTTGACGATCTATGTTTGTTTAGGTCGGAAATTACAGGCCAATGCGGAGGCTAATTTCGATGTGCTCGTGAAGGTTGAGAAGCAAATCGATGCCGTTCCAAAACCGAAAAAAGAAAAAGAAATTGGACTTGTGGACCAGTCCTGAATTGGTCCGTTTCAAATGGACCGGGTTAGGTCCGGTTCTCAAACTCAAAATCCATCTACTTGGCCCGGCCTGGCCCGTTACATTTTAAAACGGGTAGGGTTAGGTTCTTCCAAATTTAGGTTCGGCCTGGCCTGTGCCCAGTGTAAAACGGGACAGGTGCCAGGTGCTCGTTTATGCGGTACATTAACTGTCTAGGTACCTGGTATCCGAAAACACTTCAAAATATTGACGGTTCGTATAAAATGTCGTAAATGCTTGTGGAATGGCACCACAAATTGTCCCATCTATAGTGTGGCAACTGATCCTACTTTGTTTCCAATTATGGGATCCACTACTTTCCTTCTATCCAGTGGGACCTAAGTAATGTGTGGCTTATGGTTTTCAACGTCATCTTATAATTCCCTTTTGCTCTTGAGGAAACAGGAGCCACTAAATGTAAAGAAAATCCACAAAACATAAGCCATTGCCTCATCCTCTTCCATCTTATGCTTTCTCACTCTCTGCAAGTGCCAAGATTGACTCCCACAATGCGCCGCCATAAATTCATGGAGAGATATTCACCTCCACCTCCATTGATGGCAATAACTATACCAGCAGTTGATAGTAAGGAGAATATGAGATTAACAGGGAAGATTATTTGCAACATGTTAAAAGTGATATATTTCTTAGTTTAAAGGAGAAGACAATAGTTAACTATATATATATATAAAGATAGTATGCAACCTGTCAAAAAGATGGCAAATATAGGCCAGGTATGTGGTACTCATTTGTATGGTACATCAACTATCTTTTTTTTTTTTTTTTTTTTGGAGCAAATATCTAGTTACATCCCAAATATCGACGGTTTGTATTTAATGTTGTGAAGGCTTGTGTAGTGGCCCCATAATTAGTCTCATCCTATAGCGTAAGTTTGACATTACCCCCTTACATTCCAAAATAGAGTAATATTAGGAAGACTAAATTTTTTAAATCAAATTGCAAACTAAATGATGTGTCACCGATAAGAAACAAATATATTAATCGATACTTAATTAATAATCCAATCGTTTACAGCCACATTATTTAATTTAAAAAATTTGATCTCTCTAAAATTACTCATTCAAAATATTCCGTCGGCAATAAATTGGCTAAATAGCCAAAATGATCTTTGAGATTTGCATAACACATCATTTTGGTCCCTGAGATTGTCCACCATCTATCATTTTGGTTCTTCCGTTAAAAACTCCATTAAGTGTCCCGGAGCTCTTGGCCGGAAGTTTGAGCAATTTTCAAAGCTCTGTAACTCAATCGTTTCTAAACCAAATTTGATCATAATATATCAAAATGAAGATAGGAAAGTGTAGAACAAGATTATACCTATTTGGAAGCCCAATGGTTGCCAGAGATGGCCAGAAAATAGTCTCAAAGTTGACTGGTCAGAAGGAAAACTGGAAAACTCGTCGGAAACTGGGTAAACTTTTCATAAACTTTTTCAATACTCAATGAAATTGAGTGATTCAAAAAAGAAAATCATACTTCTCGATGAGACGGGGAGAATGATACCTTTCTTGATGGCTAAATCGCCATGGTTTGGCCGGAAAACGGCTCGAAATTTGCTTACTCATTTTCGAGTTAGCAACTTTTGAGCCGTTTTCCGGCCAAACCACGGCAAGTTAGCCATAAAGAATGTTACCATTCTCTTTGAATCATCGAGAAATATGATTTTCGTTTTTGAATCACTCGATTTCGTTCAGTATTGAATAAGTTATGAATATTTAAAGTTTACCCAGTTTTTGACGAGTTTTCCAGTTTTTCTAATGACCAGTCAACTTTGAGCCAAAAGCTTCGGAACACTTGACGGAGTTTTTAACGGAAAGACCAAAATGATGGATGATGGACAATCTCAGGGACCATTTCTATAGAGTTTCAATCTCGGGGATCAAAGTAATATGTTATGCAAATCTCAGAAACCATTTTAGCTATTTTAGCATAATAAATTTCACTAGATACTGTAGACTGTAGACATGGCAGCTCCCGTGATTGGCGACCGCTTTGTTTCCAATCATGGGGTCCACTACTGTCCTTCTGTTCAGCGAGACCTGAGCGGTGTGTGGCTTATTGTTTGCCACGGCATCTTGTAATGCTCACTTGCTCCTGGGAAAACAAGAGCCACGTATTATATCTTAAGAAACCTACATAAGTCATTGCCTCATCCGCTTCCCTCTTCCCCTCTCTCTCTCACTCAATCTGCAAGTGCCAAGTTTGATTCGTTCATTTGAAGAAGGTATGTGTTCTTTGTATCTTTTTTATTTCTGGGTTTTTTGGGTGTTAAATGTTAGTAAATAAATATGTAATTTGGTGTTTTTCTTGTTTGTTTTATAGATTGTTAGGTGGGTTTGAGTTGCAGAAGAAACAAATGGAGAAAAAACAAGTTGGGGAGCTTGTATCGGTGACGTTCACATGGAAGATTGAGAAATTCTCTAGGTTGAGATCCCAGAAACATTACTCCGATGGTTTTAAAGTCGGTGACTTTGAATGGTATGTTTCATTTTCTTCTTCAAATTATTACTCGATGACATTCTTCGTTTTCTTATTTCGTTTTTTGGTTTGATTTTTGTTTATATGTGTACTTTGGTTGTTTGGTTCTTGTATATATGTACTTTGGTTGTTTTGGTTCTTGTATATACGTACTTTGGTGGTTTGATTCTTGTATATATGTACTTCGGTTGTTTAATTCTTGTACATATGTACTTTGGTTGTTTGATTCTTGTAACGACACAATGAGGTTTTTTTTGTGATAAAACCCTACTTGTTATGCTGATATGTGGTAAGATGCAAGTAGAGGACAGGACAGTATACGTTTGATTAGTAGTTGGCCGATGGCCCATCTTTCTGAAATCTTGATATAAATATCAAACCTTGTTTTTGTTCTGCTTCTGGACCCGTCCAGATTAAAATAGGAGTGCGAAAATCACTTTCCTTATAAGATGTATATGTTGTTTTAATCATCAGGCAAATTGTCGTATATCCGAAGGGCAGCAGCGGAATCCCTGGAACGCAAGACCTGTCGATATATTTGAAAGTTGCAGATGCTTCAGCATTACCATCTGGGTGGAGTAGATATGCCCATTTCACCTTGACTGTCGTCAACCAAGTCAAATATGATAAGTCCATAACAGTTGGTAAGTCACATGCCCTCACTGCCCTCACTTCATCTTGTTTATTTCACAATTATGTTGGTGCATTTCTGTTGGTTTCGCTTTCATTCTGGCTCTCACTTGCTCGAATATTATTATTTTACTTCAGATTGCGATTCAATCTTTGATTGCCTTGTCTGCACTTGTTATGTTTTTCCCAAGACTCCTTCGTACCAAGTGTTGTCTATCGGCTTTAGGTTTTGGCATCAGTTGCCGTAGCAATTTTTGTACTTCATGGAACGTGGGGACTCGCTGGAAGAAAGAATGGAAATATGAAAGTTTGTTTCTCTTGTTTGTTCTGGACATACAGCGTCCCACTAAGTCTCAGATATGATGATAGGTGGAAATTAGGCTCAGGTAAATTGGGCGATTCCAAAAGGTATTTTATGAATTGTTAAGTATGCAGTTCTCAAGGTCATGGGAAAAGGCATGAATGTCAAAACTCTGAGGTTGAAGGGTGATGGTCGTTTTTTGGGGATAGAAACGGTGAAACTACAAGGATTTTTTAGGATTGTTCAGGGGTTGGTGTGCTTGTGGTAGAGTTAGTTTTATGTCAACTCTTTGGGCTTCGGTCAATGTAGAGTTCAGGGAGTTATCTATATGCATGCCAATCACGAGCATGGTTGCTGGACTGGGAAGTTGCAGCAAGTTGATTGAGTGTGGTTTGAAGCTTAAATGTCTGGTCTTCTAATTTAACTTAATTGTTTTGCTGCCGTAAATTTGATAATTTTCGTAATAAGATTTTGGTTTCTTGTCGAAAAAAAATTAAAGAGGAACAAGAGTGGTAACTTTTACTTTCCCATAGAAGGGATATATATTTAGTTCTTCAGAAAGCATGTCTACTTTTGTTGCCCAGACATATTAGACTACCAGAGAAGAGAATTACTGTGTACATGATAGTAATGTTGAGTTTCCATTGTTATTATTCTTTAATTGCCTATGAGCTATGCTTTTCTTATTATAATTGTTTGTAATCTGTCTTATTTTGATTTTACAGAAACTAAACATGTGTTCTGCGCAAGTAAAAGAGATTGGGGCTTCACATCATTCATGCCTCTAAGTGAGCTTTGTGATGTCGCCCAAGGGTTTATTGTGAATGATACATGTGTTCTTGAAGCTGAGGTTGCTGTCAGTCAGGTTGACTATATGGCCGAAGTCCAGGAAACTTGGTTTTGTCCTCCTATAAAGCCCTTACACCATGAAGATGAAAGGCAAGGGTATTCAGATGTGGAAGCTGTTCAACTTACAGCGCCTATTTCTGAACAGGTGCTTGCTTTTCAGGATGCACCAAGTTCTGAACAAAAGCAAACAAATGCTGATTTTGAGCAAGTTCTAATCTCTTCAGTAGCAGTTACGACACCTAGTTCTGCTCAAGTTCTGGCCTTGTGGGATGGACCAAGTGATGGACAAGTTTGGACTGGGGGTGACGATAGCCCTGTCGGATCTCCGATAGGCAAGGAACATGGGCAAAAAACCTCTGCCCCAGTTGGCGAGCTCATGGATTTCAGGGGTTTAGGGAAAATAGACAAAGCTTTTGTTCCATTCCTAGAGGAAGTCTGTTTGTTGCATCCTTCATTGATCGAGTGCCAAAGGAAGAGGAGTCCTATGTTTACTGAATGGGCATTCACAGCTTTGGGTAGACTCCTGCATTTTCTAAAGACTAACAAGGGTACAGATATGAACGAGGATGCTTGTGAGCACCTTCGACTTTTATGGGAGGAGCTTGAGTCCTTCAGATTTGACTTGGCTTGGTTGGAGCCTCATGTTCAATCCGCATTGGGTATGAAGAAGTTTGTGGACAGGGAACTAGAGGTAAGAGAGCTGAGAAATAATGTGGATGCTTTGGAGAATGAAGTCAAGAGGTTGAAGGCTAGGCTAAATTTGGCAGAGTTAGATTTTGAGGATGCGAAAAGAGACATGGGAGAGGCCGAAGAAAGCTTTGTTGAAATAAATATGGATAGCGAGCTTGGTTATGGTGGGAGGCATTAGCCGTACTGCTTCTCCCTTCGATGTGAAAACGATATGCAACGTATATATGTATTACAAGCAAAACTCCCTTGTTAAGGGTGATCCTGTTTTTAAGCCACGGTGAGGGAGAACCCCCTCCATTGCAATATTTGTTATGAACCAAACCCCCTCCATCTGAACAATATCAAAATCCCTATTGTGGGGAGCTCCAATACTATCGAGCAACCACTTGTCAACCGGTATGAGAATTTTCACCTTAATTTGACGTTGAGTATTTTGCTTATGTGGGTTTAATTTTGATGATTTAGGGTCGTTAAATTCGTTGAAAATCTGCTTGGTCTTCCTTCTGTTATTGCTGGTTGTTTTTATTCGCTTTCTTTATCGTTTTGACTTAATTCTTGCGGCACTTGGGCGTTATGTATTATATTTCAGGGCTTTTATCGAGAGCCCTGAAAACTGCATGGTATGACAAATTTGGTCATGTTTACTCTGCTTAAAAATGCAGGCATCATAATGTTTTTTATGTCGGACGGCCAGGTTCGGGGAGTAGACAGCGGTGATCGCTGAACTGAGCAGATTGGAATTCATCAGTGTCTAAAGTTGAAGTAACTGGGGAAGAGCTTTGGAGGAAGGGAACATTGTAAATAATTGTATCACAACGCTAGCTGTACTTGCAGTGTTTTTATGCAATCTTTTTTTTAATATTCATGTTTATGCAGAAGCAAGGTTTTAAAGGCGCTAGTAAGGAGACGAGCAAGGGCAGGGGCCTAACGTCTAGGTGTTAACATTCCGTTTAGTTCGTTGTGAGACTTAAGCCATTTTTTTATCCCTTTGTGTAGATTGGGTTAGCCCTTGCAAGTGCGAGCAGAGAGATTGTCTGGCGCCCCAAACAATCGGGGGCATAAAAAATATTGGGGCGGTATATTCATACATGTTTTGTAAACATGAAAATTTTGGTGTCAAATGAAACCAAAACACGTGTACAAAGTAGTTTTGTATTGATTTGAATTTATAGGTTACAATCTCTGTTTACATTTTTTCCTCTGATTTAGTCTTTAAATTTGATGTAGATGCGTAGGTTGTTGATCCAAGGGTCGCGGTGACTTAATCTCGGACGAAAGGTTGAACGATTATTTCAAGTTTTGAGCTTGAAAACAATGCGTGGATGATCTTCACCTCAAGGGTGTGGCAAAGGTAGTGTTTGATATGGGATTTCGTTGCTTCAAGGGTTTTGGGGACTTGATCTTGAAACGAACGTTGCTACAACTTTATAAGCTTGCAACAAAATCTTGAAGGAATCGGCACGAGCGTTTGTTGATTCTTCAAGGAAGTGCTTCGGCTTTGGTCGAGAGAAAGCTTCGGATTTGGTTGAATGTTCTTCGAATAGAGTTTTGGCAACGTATTAGTCTTCAAAGGTTTGGCAGAGGTTCTTCTGTGTAGAGATTTTTCGACCCTTATGCTTGTGGGAGAACCTTGTATTTATAGGCTTCTCAAAGTTTACATTTGGATGGATTTGGCTTTGATTTATGTCCTGATTCGTTCATGGGAGAATTTAGGGATGTTTTGTGTCTTAATTTTAGCCATCTTTACTCCCTTGGCTGAATTATAGAGCCTTTGTTGCCTATTTTGTGAGCAATCTTCAATTCTTGCTTGTTTTATGAAGATGCCTTAACTTTCTTTTTGGTTTTGAGAACACTTTGAACCCTTGCCTATTTTTTTAAGAGAGGTTTTCTCTCTTTGGTCGAATTTTGGTAAGTTTTAAGCTTTATTCGCTTGATTTGTGCCACATGTCATTGATGACTAGTTCATTTGTGATGAGTCATATGCCACTTGGAGCTTTGCGATGCATCATTTGTATGCAATGAATTTACATATCTACAAATGCTCCAACTTCAAGGCTTGTTGTAGGCATATGCTTGTCACATGTAGGAAACGTGTTTTGAAGTCCTGCAATGTGAATGTTCTAACTCAAGGGTCGTCGAGACTTAATCTTGAATTAGTTTGCTTCTTCAAGGGCCGTTGAGGCGTATTTCGTGAACGAAACATTTCTTCTATGGCCGTTAAGGCTTGGTCTTGAGTGAAATGAACGTTTTCTTTAAGGGTTATAGAGGCTTAATCTTGAATGAAGTGATGAATTTTGTCAAGGGCCGTAGATGCTTGATCTTGAACGAAACATTTCTTTAAGGGCCGTTGAGGCTTGATCTTGAAAGAAATTTTGAAAACGGATAAATCGGCACATACTTATTGTGCGTATTTGATTTCCCATAATCTTTGACAAAAATGTTTTCCTTCATTCGATAGGAATCCCCTTTAATTTTGGTAACGAGGGTGACTTCTTTCAAGGTGTTGCAAAACTTTGGTGATTTCCTTCAAGGTTTTAGAAAGATTTAATGCTTGTTCTTGGGTAAGTAGGATGTGCATTTTTCTTCCCTTCTTTCTTCCCCACGGCAAGGAGGAATTTTTTTTGTTTCCTCTTTTCTTTTCCCATGGCAAGGAAGGAGATGTTTTGTTCCTGGTTTTTATTTCCATGGCAAGGAGGACAAATTTCTTTCCTTTTTTTTATTTCCCATTGCAATGAAGGAGTTTTTCTTTCCTCTTTTGATTTCCTACAACAAGGAGGGTTTTAATTTTCTTTTCTTTTGATTCCCTATGGCAAGGAGGTATTTTTCCTTTCCCTTCCTTTTTTTTTGTTTTGTTTTGTTTTGTTTTGTTTTGGGAAACATGCCATCTGATTTGCACGCCCAGTTTGAGATTGATTTCTCTTCTGGAAAATTTTGTAAAAATATGGGAAACGTAGCCTTATCTCTTATCTTTTCAGGTATATATCGCATGCCACTAGGAAAAATCGGGAAAGCCTTCAACTTTGTATTTTCCTACAACTGCGCAATCCTAAAGGGAAAACAACTTCTGTGGGAATAACTTTGAAAACTGGAACATTTGGCACAATGATCCTTAGCTACTTAGCTTCCTTCTCCAATTGGTCTTGCATCAAAACTCCTTCAGAAAGTTGAATTTTCACCAAAAACGTCATGCTTGTGCATATTGGCTGAAACTTGCCATTTTTTTTGCTTGGAATTTGCTTCCTTCTTTTGGTTGGAATGTGCTTCCTTGTTTTGATTTTCCTTTTGCTATTTGGGTATGTATTTCCCTTATAGCATTGGGAAGAAATTGACCCTTATTTATAGGACCATTGGGTGTGCATTTTTTTCACAACACACAATTCTTGCCGTGGGCTTGTTTGGAGCTTTTGCCATGGGTTTTGCTTGTTGCAATGCGTCATTGTTTACCACGTGGTGATGTGCAAAAGACTGCAGCATGTTTACACTATGTAATGCCTTTTGGTCACAGTATTCCCTTGGTAGTGACGTTGTCGTGCGCATTTGTTGCTGCTACTGCCTTGTGCATTGTTGCTGCTCCTTGTCGTGCCCCTTGTTGTTGTTTGGTGCGAGTTGTAGCTGCTTTGAAGCTTGTTATAGTGCGTCACTTTTATTGTGTAGGGCTGTGCAAAAGACTGCAGCGAGTTTATGCTATGTAGTACCTTTTGGTCACAGCTTTCCTCGGTGGTGACGTTGCCGTGCAGTGCAAGAAACTGCTTGCGTAATTGTTGTGGGGTTACGTAGTGCGATTGTGTAGCGTTTTGGTTTTCTTTGCTACTGTAGCACGCTTCGATAGACCATCATGTAGCTGCTCTATCTTTTGCCGTGCAGTGCAAGAAACTGCTCGCGTAATCGTTGTGGGGTTGTGTAGTGCGATTACATGGCATTTTTTTTTCTTTGCTACTATATCGTGTGTTGAAGAACCGTCTTGAAGCTGCCCTCTTTGCCGTGATTGACCAAGCTTTGTGGCTGATTTTCTTTCGTGGTTGTGACTTCATCATCGTCATTCTTCAACGCTTACGAGGTTTGTCTTGCATGTTTTTTGCTTTAGTGAAGCGATTTTTCTTTCTTTGCCACCCCACTTTTGTGCTTATGTTGCTTTGTTTATTTTGTTGCAGCCATGATATTTTTCAAGTGCTTTAAGAATAATACCATCACTATTTTTGCGAAGGAAGGTGATTCGCAAGATAGGGGGACGACATTGAAGCTTTAAGCGTCGTTGACTAGCCCTAAGGCCCTTGTTCTTCTTGCAAAAGACAACTTGATGCACGTAAAGTCGTGGTCTTTTGAAGTGTCTTGGGAGGTGACATATTTTAGCCGATCAACTACGAAGAAGGCGTGTACATCGATGTGAAATCCCGTTCCTGGATTTCACTGTTACGATCTACGTATTTGTATTATTGAGATTTTATATTATTTTTTGAGAATTTATATTAATTTATTTGAATTTAGATTTTAATTAAATTAGTTACGAAGTTAAAGTTTGGAAATTAATTATTTAAAATTCGTAGACCGTTCGAGGTCACAATTTATATTTTCGAATAGAGCTCAATCTCACAAACGAGTAGGCGTAAACCGTTAGTGAAATGGAGTTGTAACGGAAAAGTTATTAATGTTTGAAGTTAGGAACATTTTTGTAATTTGGCCCTCATTTAGAAGGCTCCAGATTTTCTAGAGCAAAGGAATTGCCACGTGTGTGGCTGGGATGAAGGGAAAAGAAAAGAAATGAGGGAGATGGACGGCTGTGATGGAAGGAAAAAGAAGAGAAATGAGGGAAAGGATGGGGGGAGGAGGAGGACCAATTAGAAACAGAAGAAAGGAGAGGAAAGGAGAGTGAGGAAGAAAAGGGGAAACGGGCTAACCTGTATACCCCATTGGACTCGACCCACACACCACATTTCCAACGCTTTTTGGTCGATTTTCCAGCGATCCCAACCTTGCCACCACCTGCAAATTGACCATCGTCCTTCCCTCTTCCATTTTCACCCAAACTTCACTGGGATTAGCCTTGATTTCGTGAAGAACCAAAGCCGTGGGTGCCGCAAAGAGTCTTGGCTGAAATCCACCAAATATGAAACGATTTCATTCAATTACCACCACCATTAGACTCTCCATGAACTCAGGAACAAAGCCCAAACAACTATAGGGACGATGGAGCACCGGAGGTGACGGATTGAAGCCACCCATTTCTAGGGTTTCCGACTGGTTTAAGGGAAATTGGAGCTTTTCCCGGCCAAATTGGACTTGGTCACATGTATAAAACTTGCTCTACTCATTGAGATCTACATTTCTGTAAATTTGATAACTTTTGGAAATAGTTGAATTTTTAGGCAAGTCCAGGTGCCCGACTGCCACCTGTGGCGGCGTGTGGCCAATGGGCCAACGATGTCTTTCTAAGTTCAATTAGATGCCTTAATTTCATAATTGATATCCGTATGAAGTGGTTTGGTTGTTTGAACTTAGTTTCATTATAATATATTACTTTATCAATGTATGAATCGACGATCCGACTGTTGGATCGTCACCAAACTCATATATATTACAAAACGTAATATTTGAGGATATTAGGAACTAACGGATCGGAAATCCGACGTACGGATCTTCTCGAATTGGATTTCTAAGTTTGTAAAATAAGTGGTTGACCGCCACCTAATTATAGTAATTAGCGGAGATCCGACCGTTGGATCATAATGAAAATTTAACATGTTGTTTTAGAAGCATAATGTGGGCTTTGGAATTTACGGATCTGAAATCTGATATGCGGATCTTATGGATCGAATTATGTAGGGTTGTGGGCACCACCGTTGATCGAGAGTTGACCTTTGGTC